TCTCACTCTGTTGCCTAGGCTGGAGTGCAGTGGCACAATCTCGGTTCACTGCAACCTCCGCCTCCCAGGTTCAAGCAATTCTCCTGCCCCAGCCTCCCGAGTAGCTGGGATTACAGGTGTGCACCGTCACCATCTGCCCAGCTAATTTTTGTATTTTTAGTACAGATGGGATTTCACCATGTTTGCCAGGCTTGTCTCCAACTCCTTGACCTCAGGTGATCCACCTGCCTTGGCCTCCCAAAGTGCTGGGATTACAGGCGTGAGCCATCACACCGGCCTTTTTGTATTTTTTAGTAGAGACAGGGTTTTGCCGTATTAGCCAGGCTGGTCTTGAACTTCTAGACTCAAGTGGTCCGCCCACCTTGGCCTCCCAAAGTACTGGGATTACAGGTGTGAGCCACCATGGTTGGCCACAGTAGGTCCCCCTTGCCACCTTGCTGGTGACTCTAGTCTCTAAACCACTTTAATGAACTGCTCCTGTCACCTACTTGAGTATTTACATGTGCTATTCATATACCCTCTTTCCTAAAGAGGCCTATTCTTTGGAAGAAGGTGAACAAATGAAAGTGTTTCAGTCATATACAAATTGAATAACCAGTAATGTTTGTCAGATGCATGAATTTGAGAACGCTCTGTGAGGGTTACTGCCCCACAGTCACATTTCTGCTGAAGCAGAATCTGCATTTGTTACAGCTCTTAGCAAAATTTCAATGTAACCCATGTAAAATTCATCTGAGATCTTCAGAGTTAACACTGAGGATGGTTTGGGAAAATGCCATAGTCATCTAACTTTTTTCTTTTAAATCAAGCTGCGTCCTCTTTCTCCTCTCCCCATCTGCCCCCATCCCTGCTAGATGAGCTTGGGGCAGAGGGCGAAGCTGACCTGCACCCCTGATGTGGCATATGGAGCCACGGGCCACCCCGGTGTCATCCCTCCCAATGCCACCCTCATCTTTGACGTGGAGCTGCTCAACTTAGAGTGAAGGCAGGAAGGAACTCAAGGTGGCTGGAGATGGCTGCTGCTCACCCTCCTAGCCTGCTCTGCCACTGGGACGGCTCCTCCCGTTTGGGGCTCTTGATCAGTGTGCTAACCTCACTGCCCCATGGCATCATCCATTCTCTCTGCCCAAGTTGCTCTGTATGTGTTCGTCAGTGTTCATGCGAATCCTTGCTTGAGGAAACTTCGGTTGCAGATTGAAGCATTTCAGGTTGTGCATTTTGTGTGATGCATGTAGTAGCCTTTCCTGATGACAGAACACAGATCTCTTGTTCGCACAATCTACACTGCCTTACCTTCACTTAAGCCACATACACAAGGTGCTCAGACATGAAACGTACATGGTGTACACAGAGGGACTTGAGCCAGTTACCTTTGCTGTCACTTTCTCTCTTATAAATTCTGTTGGCTGCTCACTTAAACAATGTCCTCTTTGGAAATATGTAAAATAAAGGCTCTGTGCTTGACAAACTCCTGTCCATCCTTATTTTAGGTAGGAAGTGCTCTGTGGACCACACAAGCCAGTTGCCCCTGAGAAAGAGTGGAAAGGAAGCAGGGTTCCAAGTGGCTAGGCGAGTGATAAATATAATAGCTACAATGTGAGCATTTTACATGCTGGGCCTTGTTCTACATACTTTTTTATTTTTTTATTTATTTGAGATGGAGTCTCACGCTGTCACTCAGGTTGGAATGCAGTGGCACAATCTTGGCTCACTGCAACCTCCGCCTCCTGGGTTCAAATGATTCTCATGCTCACCACAACGCCTGGCTAATTTTTGTATTTTTAGTAGAGACAGGGTTTTGTCATACTGACCAGGCTGGTCTTGAACTCCTGACCTCAAGTGATCTACCTGCCTTGGCCTCTCAAAGTGATGGGATTACAGTTGTGAGCCACTGTGCCTGGCTGTATATAGTTTTAAATTATTACTATCGATCCTCTAAGCAACCCTGCAAAGTAGATATTACCTGCCACTCATCTCAGGCTCAGAATCCTCCTCTGCATAACTAAAGAAATATAGGCTCCAAATCTTGTAGCTTAGCAATCAGATGTGGGATTTGAGCACCTTATGTGCTCTTGCAATCTTTGTTTGGACTACAGCCAGAGGGATGAGCCCAACTCACCCAGATGGAAACAGAACACTTTGTGTGTCCAAACAAATAAAGGTGTATTAAGGGCTTGAAGTCATATACTAACTCACACTGGGAAGTTCCTTGTGAAAACAATGTGTGATTCTGAGCTTGTTTTCACATACACTGCTTAGTTTCATCTAGATTTGTTCTGACTTACATTGAGGAATTACTTTTGGGAAAAATGTATGATTCTGAACTTCTTTCCACATATAGTGCTTATTTCATCAACATTTATTGTAACTGACCAGAAACACCAGTTAGGTTTTAAAATCAACCCACTTATTGGTATAGGTTATGTATAGGTCAGAGGAGCCTGGGGCAATGTGCTCAAACATTTTTCTCTCCTTTTTTTTTTGAGACGCAGTCTCACTCTATTGCCCAGGCTGGAGTGCAGTGGGTAATCTTGGTTCACTGCAAGCTCTGCTTCCTGGGTTCACGCCATTCTCCTGCCTCAGCCTCCTGAGTAGCTGGGACTACAGGCGCCCGCCACCACACCCGGCTAATTTTTTGTGTTTTTAGTAGAGACGGGGTTTCACCATGTTAGCCAGGATGGTCTCAACCTCCTGACCTTGTGATCCGCCTGCCTCAGCCTCCCAAAGTGCTGGAATTACAGGCGTGAACCATTGCGTCCAGCCTCAAACATTTTTCTTTCAGTTGGTATAGGGTGAGAAAAACTCCTGGCCATAGTTGGGGTTATTCTTTTTTTTTTTTTTAAGCATTTATTTATTATTTTTAAAAAAATAGAGATGGGGGAATCTCACTATGTTGCCCAGGCTGGTCTCGAACTCCTGGCCTCAAGCTATCTTCTCTCCTCAGCCTCCCAAAGTGTTGGGATTATGGGTTTAAATCACTGCACTCAGCCAATAGGGTTTTCTATCAGTGATGACTTGGAATTGTTTCAAGATTGAGGAGGGAGGGGCTGGTAACAGGTACTGCTAGTGTTCCTCATAGACCCACTGATACATGTCACATGATGTCATATATATGCTATGAGGCCATATCATCTTGGCTACATGATCTACCTTTTTTGTCTCCAAGAAATCCTGGCTGTATTCCTTTGCTGAGGGTGGAGGAGCTAATGAAGAAGCAGAGGTTTAGGACGCACAAAATAAGAGAAAGGAACTGCCTTGCATTTTAGTCACCCAAAGTCCCTGTGCTCACCTCTACTGTGGGACTAGACCAGCCAGAAGGTATTTCCTTCAGAATGTCTTGGTTCCTGGCTTTCTTTGATGACACAAATGCCTATAATAATTTCGTAGAAGTCAGCCTGCATAAAAGACATATGCATATTTTCTCCTGTGACACCAATAAGATAACTAAATATGGCATCAAGGACTATTTCAGGTGCCCACTATGGGGTATATAAAAGATCTTGGTCTAGAGTATTTATAGCTGAGGTGGGTCAAAGAAGACACCCACTAAGAGAACTCCCCCAAAAGTGCAAACACATACTGGCTAGCACCTGGAGAGGACTAGGCTCTGCAGGTAAACTGGGAAATGAATCATTTTACTGGAGCTTTAAAAGATGATGCAGAAAATTATGATGCAGCATACTAATGAGTTTGGACATTGGCCTGTGAAAACCACTAAAGTTGTTAAACAGAAGAGCAATAATAAAATCAAGGTCGCCGGGCGCGGTGGCTCAAGCCTGTAATCCCAGCACTTTGGGAGGCCGAGACGGGTGGATCACGAGGTTGAGAGATCGAGACCATCCTGGCTAACAGGGTGAAACCCTGTCTCTACTAAAAAATACAAAAAACTAGCCAGGCAAGGTGGTGGGTGCCTGTAGTCCCAGCCGCTGGGGAGGCTGAGGCAGGAGACTGGCGTAAACCTGAGAGGCGGAGCTTGCAGTGAGCTGAGATCCGGCCACTGCACTCCAGCCTGGGGGACAGAGCAAGACTCCGTCTCCAAAAAAAAAAAAAAAAAAAAAAAAAAAGATCAAGGTCACGTCAGTTGTTTTCAAACTTTCAGTCAATGAATTCTCTATTCATACAAATTTTTTCTTAGAAACTCAAAAATTTAACCTAGATGAAAGTCAAGCAGCTCTGGCACACATGTGTGCACATATAAACACAGTCATCTGTTGCACTCTTAAAAGCATTTGAAAAACTGAGCTTTGGATGTCTTGTGCAAAGGACTGATCGTAATTATATCCTCAGCATCTTGGTGCAGTACTGTGTGCAGAGTCGGGGGGTCAGTGTTTGTCCACTGAGTGCAAGTTCTTGTAACTTAATTGGGACAGGATATGGAATTTCCAAATTAGAGGGAAGTTTTAAAAGTCTTAACTTTAGGTCACGAAATTCAGCTAACATATATCAATCCAAATGATGGACTGGTCATGATAGCTAATAGAAGGAATTTCTCCTTGTTATTAAAACAACTACACCAGAGGCAAGCTAGCCTGCCACTTAGACAAATCACACTCTAAGTTTTAAAGTCTAATTTCAGTTTTTCTCTTACAAGAAAGTCTTTTAGAAAATTCTTTTTACATTACCTAAAGGCACACCATGCATTACAAAAACCAATAATGCACTCATAAAAGCATTCAAAAGAAAATTACAGCTCTGGCTCCTTTCTTATCTGCCCACCCTTAGAAATGACTCTACTCTCTTACACTGCTTTCAAAAAACACTCAGACACAATTAAAAGCAGAATTGATGCTCTTTGTCCATTGAAATGATTCAGTGTATGTACCCTTCAAATTGATTTTAGGTTCCAATTACACACAAAACAATTAGTCCATGTTTTTCCATTTGGTCCATGCCTAAGCAATAAAAAGCAAATCATTGCTATATTCTCCTAAGCTGCCATGATGATGAATGGGGTAATAACCATACTATTTCCATGTCATGGGAACTTATGATAATAAGAATGAGCATTAAGTATTTTATTTATGGTAAAGATATATTATGAACTAAGGTCCAAAATATATACAGATGCTTAATAACTAAAGGAAAAGGCTACATAAATACAATCTTAGACATATAACAACCAACACCACTACCCAAGCAGCTTGCTCTCAAATTTCTACCAATGTGACAACCATTATGTACCCATAATAATTTTTTAAAAAATTTAAAGAGGCAAATCTAAGTTTCTAACAATGTACTATCATCTAAATGACCATTTCTATAACAGACCTCTGTTCTAAAGACAAGGGTACCCATATTGACAAAGGTGTTTTGTTAACTATAAAGCAAGCATTATTCACATGTAAAGGCTTGGTTAATAACTGGTTGTTATCACACCAGCTTTGTATGTTAGCATTTTATTCATTTAACCAACATCATGAGCTTTGGTTTCCTCACCTGCAAAATGCAAATACCTATCTTCACTGAGTTGTTATGAAGGTTTAATTATTAACAGACATTCAATAAACAGCAAGTTCCTTTGATGGCTAAGCACTGCACCGGGCCCTGGAGGCATTAAGAATTTACATTAAGAGGTCCTGTTCTCAAGAAGCACAGAATCCCTAGGAGCACCTACAATTCTTGATAAGCTTCAACTATTTTTTCCTGGTATCAAACAGGAAGGGAAAGTTCAAGAGAAAAGATTGAGGTGTTTCACAAAAAGCTGTAAATTTATTAACACAATGTATTCTAATACGTATCAAAGTTTCAAGTAGGTCATGTTGAACCTCAAATGAGAAATCACAATATTTAGTATTAATTAAAAAGGAAAAAAAAGTGGAAAATTGTCATTCATGGGATTTAGTCCAAAATGAAAATGTAGGAAACATTTATTTTGGTGGATCTGTGTTGATGCCATATTTCTCCTTGAGAAGCTTCAACTGTTCCTCCTTTTTCTTTGTGTCCATCTTCTGAAATGCCTGGAAATGTGGCAAGCACCAAAATTAAATTACCAATCTACAGCCAAATGAATTTCATCAATAGTATTAGCCAGAAAACAAAGTCACAGTAGACATATATCATCACAGTACAGTTCTACACTAATTCTCAAATGAGATCACTACACAATGAGAACTTTGCTATACTTACCCTGTTGGCATTATAGTACAAAACCACAAGGTATCTGTTACAAACATTGAATCCCGATAGGTGATCACATGCATTCTTGGCATCAAAGATGTCCTCATAGACCACATAAGCTGTTCCTCTAGTTTCAGGTGTGTTCCCCCTGGAGAGTTAAATCAAATTTAATTAAGATACACATTTACCAAGCATTGATAGTTGACTTACAGAACTGTCTTTAAACTGGTAACTGTCTTTTAAAAACAGTAAACTGAAATATGTTTTTAGTTAAGTATTTTGAAATCAACCTGAAACCATTAGAGGAAATAAACACGGATAGATATACTGGATAAGCCTGTAATTTCTTGAATTAGGTAATTTTGTTTTTTGCTTTTAAGTAAAATATCTATAGGTCAAGCTGACTGTCACATCAGGAATACTAAGAACACAGCTACTACACAGAACAGCCTCACGAGTTGTGGGGACTACAGATGCTCCACCCTGACTGGCCCTACGATGTCTTTGTTTTGTTTTGTTTTTGTTTTTGTTTTTTGAGATAGAATCTCACTCTGCTGCCTAGGCTGGAGTGCAAGTGGCACGATCTCAGCTCATTGTAACCTCTGCCTCTCAAGTTCAAGTGATTCTTGTGCCTCAGCCTCCCAAGCAGCTGGGACTGCAGGCATGTGCCACCAAGCCCAACTAATTTTTTATTTTTAGTAGAGACAGGGTTTCATCATGTTCCCAAGGCTGGTCTCAAACTCCTGACCTTAAGTGATCCGCCTGCCTCAGCCTCCCAAGGTGTTGGAATTATAGGCATGGGCCAACACAAATGGTCTACATTCATTTTTAATACAACTCAAATGCTAATGCATGATACAGCTGTGTGACTAGAGAGAAGGGCTAGGCTTCTGCAAAGATGGGAGTGGAAGTGTGCTTGTGGATAGGGTTATCTGTGAGCCAGGGCAGAATGCTGGAAGGTAGCTGGAAGTGGAAGCTGACCTTACTCATGGATACGGGGTTGCTGTTAGTGTAGGTATTCCTGGCCACTTCCTTCCTTCACCTCACCAACTTCCTCTGGGAGAGGTAGAGAGGTTTAAGGAGCAATGGAACACTAAACTGCAGGCAGCAGATGGCCATGTGACTGTTAGCGGAGACAGTGGGTAGAGGTCTCACTCAGTTCAGACTCTGGGTGACAAGATGGCCCCCTTGCCTCTATCTGTGTCCCAACTACCCAGTGCAACTGTGTCCCAACTACCCAGTGCAACTGTGGAATGAGGTTTAAGACTGTGGGCTGACTCTCCATCTGCCACAGTCCCTACATAGGGTTGAGTAAAAGCAGTAGAGCCATGGGAAGAGGAGGTAGCTGCCTAGACTTGATCTAGGACAGGACTATAGTCTGGGCCCTGCTCAAGCTTGTGCTTCCTGTAAAATTGAAAAGGTATAGGGTACTGAGGGTGATTGGAGGATGCCACTGTCAATGAATGCGCTCACTTTGTCAGGTTGTGTGGGCCTGACGAGGGGTTTTAGAATGTTCTTTAGGCTCTGGGAAGTCTTAACAACTTTCAGACTTTTGACTTTTAAAAACTTAACAAGATTTTCAGTTCCTTAAGAGCAAAGGTGATCTTATGCGTACTTCATTTACTCCTTTAGTGCCATGCATAAGGCAGATGCTAATATGCCTTTGAAAAGTGGAGATCTACTTTCTCCTATCAATTCTCTCACACACACTTTGTCCAGGAAGCTCAAAACAAAACAAAGCAACTCTCTTTCTTCCTCTTATATCTTCTTAGGAACTAGAATAGGCATAGACACTAACCCCACTTTAAAGACTCTCCATCTTAAGTGTCCCAGCCCTAATTATCAACCTCACACCTTGAAAGCCATACTATAATTTGAACTTTTAAAAGCATGTATTTGTACCTACCACGTATTGGACACTGAGCTAACATTATTTTCTTATTTTTTTGAGACAGAGTCAAGCAATTCTTGCGCAGGTGTGCGCCACCATGCCCGACTAATTTTTGTATTTTTAGTAGAGATGGGGTTTTGCCATGTTGGCCAGGCAGGTCTCGAACTCCTGGCCTCAAGTGATCCACCCGCCTCAGCCTCCCAAAGTGCTGCAATTTTCTTGACTGGCATTAAAATCTTAGAGTAGGAATAAGAACATCTAAGCACGTAACTTAGCCTCTCTGAGCTTCGGCTGCTTCACCTGTCCAGTGCCATCAGGCTCTATCACGTGCCCTACCTTCCATGTGGGTTTAATAATCAAAAGAGGGAACAAGTATGAAAGAGTTTTAAAAAATACAAAGTACCAACTATCTGCTATATGCCAGGTAGGGTCAAACCAAATCATCCTGATTTGATTGGGACTGTCCAGGTTTTAGCACTGAAAAGTCCAGTGTCCCAGAAAATCTCTCAGTACTGGGAAAACTGGGAAAGTTGGTCACCCTAGTGCCAGGTATACAATAAAGCATGATCATAGTAATGGAACAGAAAAACAGCTGTTTCTCAATCTATAATTTAGACCTAAGCTCCTGTACCCTAAACTTCTATTAACCTATTCAACACATATAGACTATGTTCTTTCTGTGACAGGCACTAGAAATACAATAGTGAAAAAGACAAGCATCATCCCTTCCTTCCTTCAAGCTTATATTCAGGCAGTAGAAAGACATTACATAAATATGAAATCATTATAAATCTTTTTTTTGTTTGTTTTTGAGACGGAGTCTCACTCTGTCACCCAGGCTAGAGTACAGTGGCGCGATCTTGGCTCACTGCAACCTCCACCTCCTGGGTTCAAGCGATTCTCCTGCCTCAGCCTCCTGAGTAGCTGGGATTACAGATGCGCGCCACCATACCCAGCTAATTTTTGTGTTTTTAGTAGAGACGAGGTTTCACCATGTTGGTCAGGCTGGTCTCAAACTCCTGACCTTGTGATCTGCCCACTTTGGTCTCCCAAAGTGCTGGGATTACATGCATGAGCCACTGCGCCCGGCCCCGAAATAATTATAAATCTTAAGAAATGTTTCGGCTTGGCACGGTGGCTCAGGCTTGTAATCCCAGCACTTTAGGAAGCCGAGGTGGGAGGATCACCTGAGGTCAGGAGTTCAAGACCAGCCTGGCCAACATGGTGAAACCCCATCTCTACTAAAAATACAAAAATTAGCCAGGAATGGTGGTGGGTGCCTGTAATCCCAGTAACTCGGGAGGCTGAGGGTGGAGAACCACTTGAACCTGGGAGGCAGAGTTTGTAGTGAGCCAAGATCATGCCATTGTACTCCAGCCTGGGCAACAAGAGCGAAACTCCATCTCAAAAAAAAAAAAAAAAAAAGAAGTGTTTCATAAAAGAAGTAGAAAGCTCTGTAACAGATAGGGAAACAGGGAGCTACTTCAGCTAGGGAGGTCAGGGAAAACCTCTCTGAAAAGCTGACACTGAAGCTGAGACCTGAAGAATGAGAAGGAGCCAGGCATGAGATGAGCTGGTGAAAACCATTCCAGATACAAGGAAAATAGAAGCACAAACATTCTGAGCTGCTCTGCACTCTTAAGATGCCCCTGCTTTATTCCCTGTCCTTTCATTTTGGCTTTCTGAAACATTCTCTAACTTCACTGATTTAAGCATCCCTTAATTCAGTACTATCAATAAACTTTATAATGCCCTTATAAACCAATCACAACTTTTTATATTATTATTCCATTTTCTTTTCTTTTTTTTGAAACAGGGTCTCACTCTGTCACCCAGACTGGAGTGCAGTGGTGTGATCTCAGCTCACTCACTGCAGCCTCAGCCTCCCAGGTTTAAGCGATTCTCCCACTTGAGCCTCCTGAGTAACTGCATTACAGGCACGTGCCACCATGCCCAGCTAATTTTTGTATTTTTTTGGTAGAGACGGGGTTTTACCATGTTGGCCAGGATGGTTTCGAACTCCTAACCTCTGGTGATCTGCCTGTCTTGGCCTCCCAAAGTGCTGGGACTACAGGTGTGAGTCACCGCATCTGGCCTCTTCCACTATTTTCTATATTATTCATTTAGTATACATTGGGTGCTTACCATGTATCACACAAGTGCTATCAACACAAAACCAAAAATAATACATGGTACGAGCCCTGGAGGAACTCACAGCCTGCCCAGGGTATAGAGACAACAGCAAAACCACGTGTTAACCTAGGAGAGACACATGGAAATGCTACAGGAGCAGAGGAGTGGCTAATGTACACTGGGAAGGAAAACTGATAAAGTACCTTCACAGATACTGTCTAATTTCATCCAAACTAAAATTCTTTTAAGACAGTAGGTTAGGAAGACTATTTCATAGGTAACTGAAGCCCAGATAAAGTTAAATATTTTCTCCAGTTTCATGAGAGCAGGCAAGCCAGTATTTTAACCCAGGCCTTACAACCAATCCATGCTGTTTCCACATTAAAAGCTAAAAGGCCACCACCCAGATAATCTCAAACATGAACAGAAAACCAAAAAATCTAGGCAATTAGTCACACACACGGCTAGTAACAAGGCCTGAAGTAGAATCTTGTCTCCTGATCCCCAAGTCAGGGATTCACCATGTTGGCCAGGCAGGTCTTGAACTCCTGACCTTGTATACCATTCTTTATATATCTAGAGCAGGGTTTCTTAACCTAGAGTCCGTGTATCCCCTGAAATATATGCAACATGTGTACGTTCTTCTGTGGAGGGGGTCTAAAGCTTTTATCAGATGCTGAAAGGACTGAGACCTCCTAAAAAGGACAGCTGGTCTATAACACGTTCACTTTCATCCCCATCTGAGTACCAATGATCATGTATTTCCAGCTCTTGGTTTACTCCCTGGAGGGACCGTGTCATTCAAAAAGAGGGCCCTCAAGACCTTATAGTCCTAAAGCCAGGAAGGAGCTCTCAAGTCATACAATACAGAATTCTGACTAGAAATAAAAACTTTATATGTAGTCATTACTGGGGTAAAATAATACTTTTTAAAAAATAAAAGCTTTAGAAATCCTTTCAGATGGACTCTTAAGTCACTAGCCTTTTCATATGAGTTAGGGTATCAGGGGCTATGTATGGTATTGTGTAATACAGAGGTTCAATTTAGAGTCAGAAGAATTTACCACTAAGCACTGTAAGACTAGAAAGATGCTTTACTCTCAGGGCTATAGTTTTGTTGATCCAAATAAAAGCACTTATTATGGTTAATGGTATTCAGGAGATGTCCAGTAAATGTCACTTGAAGGTATGAGCCCCGATCTTTATATTAAAACATGAATGCTTGTAATTAGATGTTTTCCTCTATACTTTCAAATCTTCAATTGAAAGAGCTGTAGTTGAAAATACCATTTTTTTCTGTTACTTTTATACTTTTTTACTTATTCAGAAATTCTGGAGTTATTTAAAGAGACAGTGATGATTGTTGAGAAAACTACAGAGCTACTGCATACAAAAAACATAGTGTAACAGCTAGCTTTACAAATAATGGGTAGGCAATAAATGTTAGTTCTTTCCCTTCTCAACCAGTTTCCTCAAAGCATTCATTACTACTTCAATGAATGCTTTGAGGAAACTCAAATCCTCTTCTTGGCTCTCCTTGAGCTGGATCATTAGGGTCTCAGTAGGCTTTTTCCCTCTTCAAAAAGATCTCATCTCTTTGATCTCAATCTGTTAGTCTCTAGGCTCTTGGTAAGGGTTGCTGCACCGCACACAACACAGGGTGGCCTCATCGTCAGCTAAAATTCTGATTACAGATTATGCTATCATTTTCTTTAAATGACTCAGTAAGACTCACACTCTGATTTGACGAATAGGTCCATATTTCCCAAATATATCATACATTTCTTCAGCTGTGATTTTGTATGGCAAATTTCTTATATACAATATCCGATTTACTTCAGGTGGAAGTCGAATCTAAAATGAGAAATATGTATTGTTATTATAATTAGGGGCAGAAGTGCTACCATTTAAAAAAATTCTTAATGATACATAATAATAAAAAGCCAAGAATAAGAGGTATAATTTGTTGTTTCTGAAAATGGGAAGATCTTTGAAAAAGCAACAAGAGGCTGGGTGCAGTGGCTTATGCCTATAATCTCAGCACTTTGGGAGGCCAAAGTGGGAGGATCACTTGAGCCCAGGAGTTTGAGACCAGCCTGGACAACATAGTGAGACCCCTATCTCTATACAAAAATTTAAAAAATTAGCCAGGCATGGTGGTGGGTACCTGTAGGCCTTCGCAAACCTTACCGCCATCACTCCTGCTAAACCTGAGTTGGGCTGTACCCTCTTCCCTGCCCATCCCAGGAGATGACCCTGATTCTTGTTTCCTGGAGAAAATAGACATGACCAATTGGTAAATACTTTTCATCTATATCCAACTACTTTTCCTCTATTACTACGCCAACCTTCATCTGCTACAAACCTCCACTTCTGGACTTAACCTATCTTTCTTCCATATCATGTTTCTCACACCCTGCTGGATTGCTCCCATTGGCATAAAAACACACCTATATCACACATCTTTTAAAAAGTCAACTATCTGGCTGGGTGCGGTGGCTCACGCCTGTAATCCCAGCATTTTGGGAGGCCAAGGCAGGTGGATCACTTGAGGTCAGGAGTTCGAGACCAGCCCATCCAACATAGAGAAATCCTGTCTCCACTAAAAATACAAAATTTAGCCGGGTGTGGCAGTGGGTACCTGTAATCCCAGCTACTCAGGAGGCTGAGGCAGGAGAATTGCTTGAACTCAGGAGACAGAAGTTGCAGTGAGCCAAGACTGCGCCACTGCACTCCAGCCTGGGCGACAGAGTGAGAGTCCCTCTCAAAAAAAAAAAAGTCAACTATCATCCAATTTCCCTACTTCCTATGTACATGAGAACTCACGGACAGAGTTTCTTTGCTGTTTCCATTTTCTCAACTTTCACCATCTTTTCACCCCACTGCAATCAAGCTTTCATCCACTGAAATGATTCCTATCATCAAGGTCACCAAAAGTCTCCATTTACATATCCAATGGTCAATTATCTGTCTTTTCTTTTTTCGTTTTTTTTTATTTTTTTTTTTGAGTCAGGGTGTTGTTCTGTCTCTTGGGCTGAAGTGCTGTGCAGTGGTACAATCATGGTTCAAGGCAGCCTTGAATTCCTGGGCTCAAGCAATCCTCCCACCTCAGCCTCCCAAAGTGCAGGGATTACAGGCATGAGCCACCTCGCATGGCCTAACTTCATCTTATACCTCTAAGCGTTTTACAGTTGACTAATCTCTCTTTAGAGTTGTTTTTTTTTTTTTTTCCTGGAGGGAGTCTGGCTCTGTTGCCCAGGCTGGAGTGCAGTGGCGCGATCTCGCCTCCCTGCAAGCTGTGCCTCCCGGGTTCACGCCATTCTCCTGCCTCAGCCTCCCGAGTAGCTGGGACTACAGGTACCCGCCACCACGCCCGGCTAATTTTTTGTATTTTTAGTAGAGACGGGGTTTCACCGTGTTAGCCAGGATGGTCTTGATCTCCTGACCTCGTGATCCGCCCGCCTCGGCCTCCCAAAGTGCTGGGATTACAGGCGTGAGCCACCGCGCCCGGCTTTGAATTTTTTTTTTTAAGTTTCCATAACACTGCACTCTCAAACACTAGAATGTAAGCAGAAGGACTTGTTTTATTCACGGCTGTATTCCCAATACGTAAGACTAGTGTCTGGCACACAGTAGCTGTTCAATAAATATAACTGATGAATTATGTCCCACATGGCAAGCACAATACATAGTAGGTGCTCAAAAAATATTGTTTTAATTAATATATTAATGAAGGATCCGAAAAGCTCCATAATCTGAGGGGCATCCCAGGCCCCAGTTGTTGGTGATCCATTAAGTTAGTTGAGAACTCTTCTGCGCTATCGAGTTTAAGCCAAGGAGATAATCCTAACGCCAGGTCCTTAGGTGCAGGTCAAGCAAAGAGGCTACAGGGGTAACACTATGACTGACACTAGGTTAGAGACTGAGGAACTCTCAAAAGGGGTGGGGGCAGAAATGTCGCTCAAGGAGCATATCTCCGAGGATGGGGCCAGGATAGTGTCTTCGCTGACAGGATAGGAATTCTGGAGTTCTCCGCTCTGGGGACAGAGGAGGGGCAAGAATGCTCCGATCCACGCCGCTAATAAAGTCAAACCCGAAGTTCTCCCAACCTCTGCAGAACACCCGGTACTCACGTTCGCCCTCTTGGCCGCTTGCATCGCCATCTTGGCGAGCTGATAAGGTTACCGCAGCAGATACTGAAATTCCTCCGGACCCCTCCGGAGCTCGCTCGGTTTCAGGCGTTGCACCGCGTTAGACGCAGGACATCAACATCCAGGACCCGCCGGAAGCTGTTACAGCGGAACAGCGCTGTCTCACGCCGAGACGCGCTGACGTAGCAGCCCCCTTCGAATACACTCCGGGGTAAAACCGAGCCTGAGAGAGACGCGAGGCCGGAAGATGGAAACGCGAGTTCAAGACACTTCCGGGCTCTGTAGCGTAAAGGGCGGGGCGTAGCCTCCAAAAGGCGGGATGTTCCGGTAGGGGAGGCCCTCCCTGAGCAAAGGGAGCCGGGTGGAGGGGGCGGGGCCTGAGGCGGGCGGTGAGCTGGGGCGGGGCCCAGGTGAGTAATTGGGGAGCGGAGGAGGCGGGGATTGAGGAGGGTTATGACAAATAGGGAGGGGCCCAAGTGAGTAGCGGGAGGGGGCGGGGCCTGAGGAGGGTGCTGAGAACTAGAGCTGGGCCGAAGTGAGTATCGGGGAGGAAGCGGGGCCTGAGGAGGGAGGTGAGCTGGGGCGGGACCCAAGTGAGTAGCGGGAGGGGGCGGGGCCTGAGGAGGGCGGTGAGAGGTGGGGTGCGGCCCAGGTGAGTAGCGGAAGTGGTCGGGGCCTGAGGACGGTGGTGGAGGTGCGGCGGGGCCCGGATGTGTAGCGGGAGGTGGTGGGGGCTGAGGAGGGCGGCGAGAGGTGGGGTGGGGCCCAGGTGAGTAGCCAGTAGGGCCGGGGCCTGCTGTGGTGCCCCCGCGCGGGGCGCGCGGGCAGGTGCGGGAGACGCGATGGTGGGCCTGAGCCTCTAGCCGTGCTCAAGGCGGAGTCTGCGGGGTTCTGGCGGCTTGTGTCACGGCTGACGCTGTAACTATACCCAGAATCTCTAACCCTGGAGGGGCGCTCAGGTCGAGCCTCAGCTGATCGGGCCTCTGAAATCCCCGCTGCGACGCCCGCCGGACTCCCTCCCCAACCCCGCCGCGGCGGCCGCAGTCCGCGTGCCACCCTTCCAGTCCACTCTTTATTTCCTTAGACCAACTTTAAACGGCTCTGGAGGAAGCACCGAGTTTCTTGCCTGTTTATTGTGAATCTTCTCCAGGTTTGCTCTAGAAAGGCCTGGGGTGGCCGCGTCCTGTCTTGCCCCCTCCTCCTTCACTGGGGCAGTTCCAGGACGATCTTGCCTAGGTTTTTGTTGGTCTCCATGTACTTATGGGCCTCCTGGATTTCGGTCACTGGGTAGATTCTGTCCAGAACCGGCAGTAGACGTTGGGGACCCTCCGTGGAGAAGTGAGGCAGAATTTGCTCCGTGAAAGCATTCACTAGCATTTGCTTGTACTAAGACAAGGGAAAGGACAGCATCAGCCTGGGGAGAGAGCCTCACCCCGCCCTCATCCTCCTCAGCCGCCTTGCTCTCTCTGAAACCACGTATCTGAAAAAGCACACGGGGACACTTAACCCCTCACCTCCTATCATGTGTGTGCAATACCCCTGAAGGAGTGATGTGCCATCTCAGAATATGTCTGATAGGTATATTGTTTATTTTGAGGTGAAAACGTTGGAGAAATTGTAGTTTCAGAAGAGGATAGCTGACCTGTGTCTTCTTGCATGTAGCAAGTCATAAAGATTCCTGTGGGAGGGGCACCCTCCCCATACTAGGGCAAGAAAATAGCCTTTCTCACCGGAGACTGGAAACAGGGCTACAGTGGAACTGAATAAATACACTTAAGGAAGTAACACTTATCTTCCACTAGTTTCACGCCCCCCACCCCCATATATCTCCTAGTGACTTCCCTAGAAATTTACTATCCCTAGCCCGATTTTGCCTTATTTCTTCTCAAATTTATTGCTCTTTGTCTAAAAATTACAAAAGCATCTTACTTTGGCCAGATCACTTGAGCCTGGGAGTTTGAGATCAGCCTGGGCAATATGGTGAAACCGTCTCTATAAAAAATACAAGCCAGGCATGGTGGTATGCCTTTGTCTTGGCTACCTAGGAGGCTGATAGTGCCACTGGACTTCAGCCTGGGTGACAGAGTAAGACCCTGTCTCCATAAAAAAAAAAAAAAAAAAAAAAAAAAAAGGACATGCTTTTCTCCTGTCAATCTGCTGTTATCAATTTGGTTTCTAGATCCAGCCGAAGAGACCACATAGGAGCTAAAGGGGGGTTACAGGTGATCTCTGGCTCCCCTGTACCTCCAAATGTGTAACTTCTGTACCAGATAAAGACTGAAGCCTGAAGTAAAATGTTAGTGTCACTGACAGCCTAAGAATTGTTTTTTTTGTTTGTTTGTTTTTCTTTTTCTTTTTTTGAGACGGAGTCTCGCTTTGCGGCCCAGGCTGGAGAGCAGTGGTGCGATCTCGGCTCTCCGCTCACTGCAAGCTCCGCCTCCCGGGTTCACGCCATTCTCCTGCCTCAGCCTCCCGAGTAGCTGGGACTACAGGCGCCCGCCACCACGCCCGACTAATTTTTTTGTATTTTTAGTAGAGATGGGGTTTCACCGTGTTAAGTCAGGATGGTCTCGATCTCCTGACCTCGTGATCCGCCCGCCTCAGCCTCCCCAAGTGCTGGGATTACAGGCATGAGCCACCGCGCCTGGCCAAGAATTGTTTTTAAATAAATGGTCTTCACCCAGGAGGCAGCCACAGATAGGACTCATATAGGCTCAGTGCAAAAAGGATGCTTAAGTTCTCCTGTCCCCTCAGCTGGTGCAAAACCCTATGGTGGAAACATTCCCAAAGCTGGTACCTGCTAGACTGCCAGATGGAGTATTTCAGGAGCATATAATCTTTTTTTTTTTTTTTTTTTTTTTTTTTTTTGAGATGTGTTTTTGCTATGTTGCCCACGCTGGGGTACAGTGTCTATGCACAGGTGCAATCATAGCTCACTGCAGCCTTGAAACTCCTGGACTCAAGCAATCCTCCACCTCAGCCTTCCAAGTACCTGGGACTACAGGCAAGTGCCACTGTGCCCAGCATGGAACCTATAATCTGTTGAAGGCCAAGGCTTACTTATTTTTTACTCACTTAAGAGTCTTTCTTAACACACTGAGATGAATTCTGCCTTTGAAAACAAAGTCTTGGAACTACTCGAAATACTTCCTAATATGGTCAGTGCTTTGTTCATTCTATTAGAATGTTCAGATAGTGCATGAAGCACCAACTACACTTCTTTTCATGATACTGAAGCCTCTATCGACCAATCTGAATCAGTTCTCTGAAATCGGGTTCCCTATTTATCTTCAGAGGGGGAGATTTCTTCATAGAAACTAACCTTCCTAACCTAAGGTAGAGCTTCCTTTCTCGGGGTAATGTAAATGAACCACACTTTTCTGGGTTAAATCACATGTTTTCTTTTCATTCATTACTCACCTTATTGTCCCTAGATCTCAGCAAACTGGTGATCAGACTTCCTCGCTTATGAAGTAGCTTTGAAAGCAGGGGCCCATTGATGTCAGCTCCTCCCATCAGACCATAGAGAACCCAGCGACCATCAAGAGCCAGGCAGTTGACGTTCTTCTCCCAGTAGGATCCGCCTATGCAGTCTAGAATAAGATTAACTCCAGCACCTTCCATAGGAAACAGATTTGTGATGCTAGTCAGATATAGAAAGCTTGGTACAAAATAAGATACCATGGTATATTTGTGGATTATAGACATAAATACAGATGCAAGTGGTAAATCTATAGGTTGGAATTAGAAACACTGCTTGAAGAACTGTTGTAAATGGAGTTTAGATAGCGGAACTCTATCATAGCATGTGTGAAGATCATCACCCTTTATGATGCCTAGCTATAGCAAGAGGGAAATGGGGCACCATGGCCTAGAGTCTCCTCTCATGCCAAAATAAGTACAGTCCCACTGACACCCAGACATGATTTAAAACAGAATACAGGAGGCCCAACCTAGGCTAGTTGTTCACATAGAAGTTAGGAAGTATCCGCACTGGGTTATTGGAATTATAGGCTTTCTAACTTTGGTTTCATCTCTCCTTTCCTTTCCTTTCCCTCCCTCCTTCCCTCCCTCCCTCCCTCCCTCCCTTCCCTCCCTTCCCTCCCTTCCCTCTCTTTCTTTCTCTTTCTTTCTTTCTTTTCTTTCTTTTTTTTTTGACACTAGAGTCTCGCTCTGTCGCTCAGGCTGGAATGCAGTGGCGCGATCTCAGCTCACTGCAAGCTCTGCCTCCCGGGTTCACGCCATTCTTCTGCCTCAGCCTCCCGAGTAGCTGGGACTACAGGCGCCTGCCACCATGCCCGGCTAATTTTTTGTATTTTTAGTAGAGACGGGGTTTTCACCGTGTTAGCCAGGATAGTCTCGATCTCCTGACCTCGTGATCCGCCCGCCTCGGCCTCCCAAAGTGCTGGGATTACAGGTGTGAGCCACAGTGCCCAGCCCTCCTTTTCTACTCACATGAAAAATGGAGGCCAGGCGCAGTGGCTCATGCCTGTAATCCCAGTACTTTGGGAGGCTGAGGCAGGCAGATCACCTGAGGTAAGGAGTTCAAGACCAGACTGGCCAACATAGTGAAACCCCATCTCTACTAAAAATACAAAAATTAGCTGGGTGTGGTGGTGCACCCATGATCCCAGCTACTCAGGAGGCTAAGGCTGAAGAATTGCTTGAACCTGGGAGGCAGAGGTTGCAGTGAGCCGAGATCAAGCCACTGCACTCCATCCTCAGTGACACAGCGAGACTCCATTTCAAAAAAAAAAGAAAGAAAGAAAAGAAAAATGGAAAGGGATGAGCCAAAAATAGACACATCTGGCTTTGGAATACAGCAGCATGCACATCTACTCACTCATTTAGGGTGCTATCACCCAACCCTACCATGCCTGGCTCCAAACTTGTCTCTGCCTCCAAGCCTCCTATTAACTAAGTGTAGAATGGCTGGTTGGGAAGAAAAGGTGCTGGATAATTCTAGACCAAGTCTGCGTGGTCTAAAGTGTGGATGAATCTTATCTCTTGCAAGAATGCACATGGAAACCATCTTAGGTATCAATATGACTGCCTGTCTCCAGTGGTCAAATACCATAGTACTAGAATTTGGCCAGGGCAGCTGTTGAGCACTTAGTAGAGGTAAGACTGATAGACAGTACTGGCAACTTTGAGACTGGTGGGGATTTTATTTAATCATCTCTTAAATTCCTGCTTAACTGTAGAAACAGTTGTTTACCTTTGGTGAATTTCAGTGTTGCTTCAGAGAAATCCTCTTCTTTGTAATTGAATCCAGCAGCTGCTCCAAGCTTTTCTGCCATTTGAAGCTTCTGCTGGGAGCCAGCTGTGACCAGAGGAATAGCTCCAGCCATCCGGGTGAGTTGGATAGCAGCTGTGCCCACACCACTCAGTCCTGCATGGATTAGCACATAGTCTCCAGCCTGAACGTTTCCTGTGACAGAAAGTACAGGGTTCTCTTTACTTTGCAACTACTACATATTCCCCACACAGGCATATTTTATCAAGATCACCTGGCCGTTGCACCAAATGCCAAATCGATCTTTTGCTTTTCCTTTTTTATTTGGTGGGGTGGGGGCGGGACACTGTGACTCAAATACAAACTGTCTTGTTCTTTGGAGAAAGAAAAAGCATACTGACAGTCCTTTTTTGTCTTATTTCCTCTGGCTAAAGTGGAAAACAGCCTTTTGAAACAGGGCTATAAGCAGTCACATCCATAATCTCTATTTTATCTATGATATAACACCAAAATGCACATCTCTGACCTATACCTGAATAAGTAAGAACAACTACCATTCCCATGGTCACCCACCACCCAAAGCCAGTCCTTATAGAGTCTGAAATGCCTCCAGCTGGTCTTCCTGATCCAGGTAACAGATAACCACCAGGCTCTTCTTCCTAAGATGGCACTTTTATTACGTTATTCTTCCTCAAAATGTAAAGTGCTTCTCCATTGGCTTTTGCGTTGAGTCCATACAGCTTGATATTCAAGGACACCATGATCTGGCCCCAGCCTCATTTTTCACAAATCACGATAGTCATCCTTCACTACTGAGTGCAGTGGCTGGTCTCACCTTGATACTCTTTCCTTTTTTTTTTGAGACAGAGTCTCGCTTTGTCACCCAGGCTGGAGTACAGCGTCGTGATCTCAGCTCACTGCAAGCTCCACCCACCCAGGTTCACGCCATTCTCCTGCCTCAGCCTCCTGAGTAGCTGGGACTATAGGCACCCGCCACCACGCCCGGCTAATTTTTTGTATTTTTAGTAGAGACAAGGTTTCACCGTGTTAGCTAGGATGGTCTCGATCTCTTGACCTCGTGATCCGCCTGCCTTGACCTCCCAAGGTGAGCCGAGGCCCAGCCTACTCTTACTTTTTCTTTGAGACAGAGTCTCACGCTACTGCCCAGGCTGGAGTACAATGGCATGATCATGGCTCACTGCAGCCTTGACCTTCCTGGGAGCAGGTGATCCTCCCAGCTCAGCCTCCTGAGTAACTGAGACAACAGGCGTGCACCATCATGCCTGGTTAATTTTTGTGTTTTGTGTAGAAACAGGGTTTTGCCATGTTGCCCAGGCTGGTCTCGAACTCCTGGGCTCAAGTGATCTGTCTTCCAAACTGCTACTATTATAGGTGTGAGCCACCTTGCCTGGCCAATACTCTTTCTTAGGCCACCTTGGCATGCCTATGGCCTTCACAAGTCTACCCACCCTTCAAAGCCTTCTCTTCCAAAAAGCCTTCTGACTACCCTTGTCCACACCATCTTTTCCCATCTCCAGTTTCTATTGTAGTTAGAGACAGGGTTATCCTTCTAAACTCTATGGTCATCTGATCTTATGCATATGTTGCCTTCTCAGTCACACTGCACTGTCTAAAGGCAAGGACCAAGTCTTCGTAGATTCCCTTATGTGAGTTCTTGACTGTCCTTAATGGGATTGGGGAGGAATAAATGAGTCAATTGGCCCCTTCTGTTGCACTGGGACACCAGAGAGAAGCTCAGCATGATTTTGAGAAGCTGGGACTGCTGCTGAGCCTCCGGTGTTAAGATGTACAGAGGTCTCCTATCTAGTGTTATCCAGACCTTCTATCTGCTAACCATGATTCTCAGCCTCAACATTAAACCCTTCTAACATGGTCTGAGGACCTGACAGTACAGGTGGTACAGCAGGGCCTGGGAGTGCCCTGGAGGATTGCTGGGATTCAAGGTGGCTGATTTATGAAGGTGTTGAGCCACATTGTGTGGAGTCAGCATGGAGGCCTCCTCACCCACAAGATGTAACAGCTGGAATGCGGTGAGCCAGGCCTCCGGGATGGCTGCAGCCTGGGGCAGGGTCAATCCCTCTGGGATAGGCATGAGGAGGCTTTCGGGGACAGTGACATACTGAGCCTGGCCCCCACCGGGGAGCAGAGCCATGGCTGCATCCCCGATCTTCCAGTGTCCTTGGCAGCCAGGCCCCAGCTCTGCCACGTGTCCAGATGCCTCAAGTCCCAAAATGTTGCTGGCTCCTGGAGGTGGGTCATATTGGCCTTCTCTCTGCAGAAAAAGAAGTGTACTAAGTGGTGAGCATGATCAGAAATCTGTGTGTCACCACCCCTGGCCCCTCTTGCAATATCCCCTCTTTTTTTTTTTTTTTTTTTGAGACAGAGTCTCAGTAGCGCGATCTCGGCTCACTGCAAGCTCCGCCTCCCGGGTTCCCGCCATTCTCCTGCCTCAGCCTCCCGAGTAGCTGGGACTACAGGCGCCGCCACCACGGCCGGCTAGTTTTTTGTATTTTTTAGTAGAGACGGGGTTTCACCGTGTTAGCCAGGATGGTCTCGATCTCCTGACCTCGTGATCCGCCCGTCTCGGCCTCCCAAAGTGCTGGGATTACAGGCTTGAGCCACCGCGCCCGGCCCCCTCTTTTTTTTTTCAGAAATAAATTTCAGGATGAAGTCAGAAGAGAAAGGAGAGGCCATTAGTTTTATGCAAATAAACTGGAGGTCACATGATCAGTGGATGTTATAACTGGTAGAGTCCTTAGCTCTTTACCTCATCTGAACCCCTTGCTTTACAGATGGAGAAACTGAGTCCCAGACAGGGGAAAAAATAGTCGTGGGATTAGGAACCTTGATGATGGTTCCCATGCATCAAGTGCTAGGCTCTGTGCTCACTCACCCCAGTCCTCAGAAGCTGTAGAGCAGAGGGACTTAACCAGGAGTGTGTGGCAGAACCACCTGAGGAGTATTTCAAAGTACATGTGCCTGGGCCCCCATCACGTTTCTTTTGTGCCCCAGGGGATTCTGATGCACATTTCTGAATGACCACAACCAATGCAGCGGGCCCAGGTCAGTAAATCAGTAGCAGACAGAAGAAAATTCTTAGAGAGTACTGCCAGCTGTCAGCTCTGGGACTCTCAGAGTGGAAAGAGTCAAGAGGTCCTTAGAGCCACAAAGACCTCAGGTTGAATCCCAGCTCTTCTGCTTGCTAATGTCATGGCCTTAGGCATACTGCTTAACCTGGCTGACCTTCAGTTTCCTTATCTGTAGAAGGAGGAGGATGAACAGGGTAGCCTGGGGAGTAAGTGCGCCCACACCCCACAACAATGTTAGTTCCGCCCTCCTTATCTGGAGGCCTGAGTGGCTACAGATTAGCTCCGTGGATTCTGCTTTGCAAATACTCCCCTTTGTTTTGTATGAACAAAAGGGGAGCCCTGGGTTTAGGTCTGGGAAGCCCCAGCGCATGTGCCTGTTGGGTGTGGGGCGGTGCACGCCTTCATGTCTCATCAACGTCCACCGAATGCTGTTGAGAGGTAGTCCCGCCCAACCCGGCACAGTTGAGCCCTGGGTACCTGGATTAAGTCCGCCCGGTTCAGGGCGCTGGCCGCCACCTTCAGGAGGACTTCACCCTCCCCAGGGCTCGGCTTGGCCACCTCCTTCACGTAGAGGTTTTCCGGTCCTCCCGGCTTGTCAAAGTGCACGGCTAACATGTTCTCTGAGGACACAGGGCAGAACAGGACAGGGCAGAGCAGGGCAGGGGCCGCTGTATCCTCGCGGAGCAGCCCAGCCTCAGGCTGTCACCGCGGCGTCCCGTGCCGGCCAGCGCCTCGCTGCCCTGGTCTCCGGCGGACCCGGCCTCTGCCCCGAGCTCCTGCCTGGGAAGTCGTCGACCGCCTCCAGACCGATCCCACTCGGAACACAGATGGGAACAGCGGGAAGTGGGATGGCGGTACAGGGCTGGATGCGGCAGAGCAGGACAACCCCGAAGAGGATCAGGCAAATCACACTCCCTCTGAGTTGGAATCCCCCAGCCCTACCCGGGTCCTTGGTGCCCGTATGAGGTACTTACTCCTGGCCCGGCTCCCCTCCCGCGCACCAGGCAGCGCCGAGCGGTTCTGGCTCCTGCGGGTCCCGGTGGCACAGCACGAGCCCCAGAGTCCCGGGACTGCCTCTGCCTCCACCGGAATGGACGGCGGGACTTGGGGCAGCCGGAGGGGTGGGGCTAAGCAGAACCACCCTCCCTCTCTTTCCTCCTACCCCCTTTAAAACGCAAAGTTAGAAGCAAACAAATCAGGTTTTCTTGTCCTTTTAGTCTCTGGAAAAGAGTCTTTCAGCTTGGCAGAAAGTGCGATTCTAGCTCTCACTGCAAGGAGAGGAGACTTCCTTCTCTCTAGGGAACGAGACCCAACCTCTTGGCAGGCAAATCGGTCCATTTTCCAGGCAAGGCCAGGCTTTTGGCACATTTATGTAGCAGGCTGGCATCCTGCCCATCTTGAGTATGGGTGGGCAAGCTGGGTGCTGCTAAGAGAAGAGAAAGGAGCCGTTGAGAGTGGGGGTGGGGAAGGAAGGCAAAACGCAGTCCTGGGATCCTTATCACGCCCCCTCCTCCTGACAGTCCCGGGGGAGAGGTTCAGCCCCAGGAGAAGGATACTGGCGATTTTGACCAGGTAAAAGCTGTATCCGTAAGCTACATGACGATTTCTCAACCTCAGTACTGTTGACATTTTGGACTAGCTAGTTCGTTGTTGTACGAGATTGTCCTGTGCATTGTAAGATGTTTAGCAGCATCCCTGGCCTCCTCCCCACTACATATCCATAGCACTCCTTGTAAATTCCTGTTTTAGTAAGAACCTCCATCCTTGACATCTGATCACCCTCAATATCTGATCAAGTTCCTCATCCTCCACCATCCCCCAAGTGATATCCGACCACCCTGGCCTGTCTATAGTAAGAATCCTGTTAAGTCAATTTAGATAGAATCCCCCTTACCCCTGATTGCTCTTCTTTTCCATCCACTGACCCCCGACACTGCCCCTTGGCTATACATTCCCACTTGTCCATGATGCATTCAGAGTTGATCCCGACCTGTCTCCTCCACTGCAAT